TTTTTCAAATATGATATTTCATTGTCCAGTAGTGTACCTTCAACTTTTTCACAAAAATTCGATTAATTCACAAATTATAGTTCAACAAAAAAAGGGCCATCTAAACTTCATTTTCTAATTGAATAAATCTGAAGCCAATGAAATACTGTTCTCTTCACTAGATAGCCCAATCATTTCCTTCTAAATCACTTTTCAAAGCTTCTGAAAGGCTTTATTTTAAAGCTTTTTCATTAGCAAGAAGCGGAGTGTTCAAAAATGACAAGGTTTCATGATGGGATTTCAGATAGAATCAAGATAGAATCAAGATATAATCAAGATAATGAATCAAGGGTACTCAACCTAGTAGAATCGAAAATTTTCGATTTCTTTATTTGCAATGGTTAAGAGCAAAACTGACTAGTTGACAGAAGAACTCAATTTCCCAACTTTTAAAGAGTTTTCTTTACTCAGAAACTTAAGAAACTTAATTTTATCAAATATCGAAACTGAACTCACAGATCGAAAACGAGATAGTGATATGATTCCTCTGAATGCTGTCATGAAGGCGGACAATGTTCGGATGTTGCAATTTACGACAGATCCGAGCCTCTCGTTCCAATTTCTGAAATTGATCCTTGATTCTAGATTCATTTCGATTCCAGAAGTGATAGAAAGCTTTAGAATAACCAAAAAAAAAGCTTTAGTTTTTCTCCTTAAAACCTTGAACTTCTGTAGCTGGATTTCTTGTAAATTAAGCCCGATTTTCATGAAGAGGGCAAAACTGAAACAAAAATTTTGTTAAAACTCCTGGCTGACCTGAAAATCACGAGCACTCAGCTTTTTCGTGCTGATGATTTTCGCGGCGAATCCCGGCACACGTGCTTTTATGGACACAGCGTCGCACCACCGAGAAAGCACCTCTGAAAATGGGTTTTTTTTGCTTGAAATCCTCATATTTTTAGATTCTTTGTCAATTCTGGAACTCACACAATAGTTTCTGATAGTTTTTAAAGCTTTGTTAACTTTTCTGAATTTGGTTACTGAAGCCCTGAAGTTGAATGCAAATTTTTTACCCGAAAATTAGCACCCTCAAAATGACTAGCTTTTCCCAGAAAAGTGACTCCTTTTTACCCTCAATTGGATATTTTTCTATTTATGGGTCTTCTCAAGGCCTCATTAGTGCTGAAAAGGGGTAGTTTTTCTTCTATTAGCTTGGTAAATATGAAAGGTTATTTTTTTGATCATTTTTAACATAACAGAAAAATTTATTTAAGCACTTTCAAAATCAAATGTATTCACCACAAGCATTAATAACTTCTTTCCAACGTTGCCCCAAATCACGAATACCGTCCTCCGTAAAATTAAAGATTTTTAGAGGCAAAATAGTTGGCAACCCAATTTTCTATGTCCTGCTTTTGTTTGAACTGCTGTCCAGAAACTGCTTGTTTCATTGACCGAAAGAGATGGTAATCCGATGGGGCTAGATCAGGGCTGTATGGTGGGTGTGGAAGAAGTTTCCAGCTCAACTTGTCGATTTGTTCGTGGACGATCTTTGAAATGTGAGGCCTAGCATTGTCGTGAAGAAATCTGACCTTCGATGGATCGATCCTCTTTTCCTCAATGCTGGATCGACTCGACCCATTTGTTCTGCATAAAGTCTTCCGTCAACAGTGTCTCCTTTATCTAATATTTCCAAATGAGCCAATCCCTTAGCATTCCACCACACACAAAGCATAACTTTTTCGGAGGCTTCGGGATAGAATGAGAGGTCCGCTTCGAACTCAGCCACTGTCCATAGAGTTGAATATTTTCATACGAAAGCCAAGTCTCATCAGATGTCAAAAAATACTTCCAAACGTCACGATGGCTAGCTTTACGTTGAAGAACAGAGCTCAAGGTGACTCGTGTGACTTTGTGGGCATCAGTGAGGTCATGGGGAGCCATTTCCCGCTTCGATATGATTTCCCAAGAACGTGTAAATGGTAACATGAGTGCATCCGAACTTTTCTGCTAATTTTCTACACTTTGCGATGGATCCAAGTCGACCTCGTTCAGTAACAGCTGATCGTCCAAAGTAATCGGCGGCTTTCCATGTGGTGCGTCTTCCAATGACTCGTTTCCCGTTTTGAAGCGACCGTACCAAACACAACATTGTTTGTAAGTAAGAGTAGCTTCTCCAAAAACAGTACAAATGTTCTGATGGCATTCCGTAGCTTTCTTGTTTAACTTGAATTCAAAGAAAATGGCGGCCCTGATTTTAAATTTTGGTTATCCATCTTTGCCGAGCTGAAACAATACAAATGTTGTTCAAAACAAAAATGTTTTTGCAAAAAAAACATGAGCACATTTTGACATATTATTGAGAAAAATCCTAGACAGGGAATGTTCTTCGTAACGACAGGGCAATATTTTTTGTAAAAAATAACCTTTCATATTTACCAAGCTAATACATGGTGCGGCATTTATAGGGTTTTGCTTAATGGATCTTTTTGGCTTTCTAAGAAAAAGGCTTAAGCTGAAATCAATAGATTTACTTATAAGCTGGACCTTTGGGGTAGCGATTATCGGCAGGGGCCAAGTTTTTGACTAACTTGCAACTCGATTTTATATAAGTTTATTTAACATAAATTTTATGTTAATTTATGTTACTTTTGATGTTGACAGTTGACAGGAAAGGAAGTTTTAGTGAAAAAAGTGACCAAAAAGTGACTTAATCTCTAGGAAACTTAAGGAAAAGAAATTGATCGATAGGTGAGGGAGCTTTACGGTTAACGGCGGGAGTAGTGATCATCGGTGGAGGCAAATTTTTGTGGCCAACTTGCAGCCCAATTTTATATAAGTTTATGTTAATAACTTTTGATAAAACAAATATTTTCTAAAAGCTAAAGTTCTAAGCTATATAAATCTTATTAAAAATTCCTGTTCTGACAAGTTTAGGGTGCTTAAAAATGAGCTGCAAGTTGGGCAAAAAGCTGGCTCTGCCATTAACCTTTAAAGATCCTAGAAGCCTTATGAGAAAAAGGTAATTGGATGCCTTTTTTTCAATAACTCTCGAATTTTCTAGTTATGCCAGTTACCGTAATAATTCTAATAGAAGACCAGTCTCTAATAGAAGACCAGTCTCTAATAGAAGACCACCCCCCTGACCCCTTGAAATCGGGACTTTTTAAAACTTCTTTTTAAGTAGAATGATAGATTTCGGTCCAGATAGTAATATTTTAGCCCCGGCAGTTAAATTGGAGACGTAGTTTTTGAAAAAATTAAAAAATAACTTTTTGGAAAAAATTTTATGTGGTCCCCCACATGGATTTTTTTGAAAGATTTTCTATGGAGTCCGGGCAAGAAAATAATTTCACTTTTAGACATGTTTTTGGCATGTTTTGGGCCAAGGGCTATCGTTTGAAATAGTTTTTAACAATTTTTAATTTTTTGATTTATGTAGGGGACCCTTACCTACTTTTTTGACCGATCAATTTTGGGGGGTTGAAAATTAGAAGACCATGGTCTTCTATTAGAATTATTACGGTAATCTGCGTTCATCTACTCTTAGGCTTCATTGTAAACTACCGTAAATACTGTAATAGTACCCCACCCGCCTCGTATAGTCGCGTAGTTGCAAAAGTTTTTTAGTATTTCATTCTTTTTCAAAGCGCCCGTACTTTCAAAAAATGCATCTTTGGTATCAAAAAATAGCTGAAATTCAGGGCTATTTTTTCATTCCAGGACCATCCCCATAATGACGGTGCGGAGCGTTGCGTCGTCTAGCTTTGAACGCGTTTTTCTCGACATTCGTTTATGCTACAATGCTCGTTTAGGTATCAAAAATAGCCCTGAATTTCAGCTATTTTTTGATAACCTAAACGAACATTGTAGCATAAACCAGTGTTGAGAAAACTCGTTCAAAGCTAGACTACGCAACACTCCCCACCGTCATTATGGGGTCGGGTACTATTACAGTATTTATGGTAGTGAATTTTATAACGTTAACATGTAAAGCTACAACTATAAACTCTAAAAGTCACCTATTTTATTGTTATATGAAAGAATTTCTTTCATTTTCCTCTCCCAAATAACCAATTTCAACTCGATGTCGGCGAATTAATCAAATTTTCCTTTCGATACAGGCTTCCCACAAATTTGACTTCTCATTTCATTGAATTGAATAAAAGGGAAAATGAGTCTCTCCTAGAGAGAAAGAGAGGAAAAAATTGGGACCTGGACCAACGGGAAAATTAATGCATTTTCAATGAGTTCGCCTGGTTGGAGATCAGGGAAAAGAGGGACAAACTGGACGAAAACACTCACAAAACCCCCCAGCTACATATGTTCTGGTGGGCATTGAGCGTAGAAAAGAGTGTAATGACTTTAAAAGATTAAGTGAGTTCAAGTGAGGCTTTTGGTTTAGTTTACTCGATTTTTCTCTACTAGAATTAAGGTCAACTGTCATTGTGCTGAGTGAATGAGTGATCTGGCATACACAGAAGTATTTCTAAATCACAGAAGTACAAGAAAACTTGTTTATAACATCCCAAAGTTTGCTTTTGGTTCAATTACGCAACAATTTAAGGGAAAACCTTCAGCTTATCTACTCAATTCTCTAGTGCTATCTAAGACTCACTTTCCAAGTTCTTCTTTGACATCATAGTTATCGGAGAATTTCGTTGAAGCGTTGTTCATTGCTGAAACGGAAAATATCAATAACTCTATTTCAATGAAATTAATTTTTTTTTTACCAAATTCGCTTTCCTCAGAACTATAGTGAGATTGAGGAGGATTGAAAAGAGAAATCACAAGGGATTAGATGAAAACTCTCTCGATCAATTTCTTCATTAGCATTCTCCAATGATTTCCTTCGACTTTTCAAAAAAACAACATAAACGGACCATTTCTTGGGGAAAAAGGGGCAAATGAAATCAATTTCGATGACAAAAAAAAGAAATCAATGTTTTTCTCAGTGCGCCTCTTTAAAAAGCTGTTTATTATTCCAATGGAAAGCAATGGAAGAATTGAAGGGAATTTGCGGATGATTTAATGCTAAAATTCTATCCTGACATCCATGATTAAAGATTTTCGAGTAGAAAATGTAAATTCAATGTGATCAGTGCAAAGGTCTCGTTTTGTTAACTTTAAAGTACGTAAAATCTAGCCTGACATCCATAATTGAAGATTTTGAAGTAAAACCGATTTTGAAGTAACCGTATTGGAACCGTATTGGAATTGTATTGGAACCGGATTGGAACCATATTGGAACCGTATTGTAATCGTATTGGAACCTGATTGGAACCGGATTGGAGCCGTATTGGAACCGTATTGGAACCTGATTGGAACCGTATTGTAATCGTATTGGAACCTGATTGGAACCGGATTGGAGCCGTATTGGAACCGTATTGGAACCTGATTGGAATCGTATTGGAACCGTATTGGAACCGTATTGGAACCGTATTGGAATTGTATTGGAACCGGATTGGAACCGTATTGGAACCGTATTGTAATCGTATTGGAACCTGATTGAAACCTGATTGGAACCGTATTGGAATCTGATTGGAACCTGATTGGAACCGTGTTGGAACCGTATTGTAATCGTATTGGAACCTGATTGAAACCTGATTGGAACCGTATTGGAATCTGATTGGAACCTGATTGGAACCGTGTTGGAACCGTATTGGAACCATATTGAAACCGTATGGGAACCGTGTTGGAACCGTATTGGAACCATATTGAAACCGTATGGGAACCGTATTGGAACCGTATTGGAACCTGATTGGAACCTTTTAGATCAAAATAGGAACCGTATTAGATTTTACAAAATCTTTAAGTAAAAATAGCAAAATCTTCCAAGCTTCAAAGCTTGAAAATCTTGAAAATTTCATTTTCAACAATTTTGAGCAATAAGATGGTAAAATGATAGCCTGATATCCATAGTTAAAAGTTTTCTATTTAGAAAAGCAATTAAGCAATTAAGATTAAGCTATTTTAATTTCAAATCTTTTATCGAATCCAGCTCACCGTCTTTCATCAACTTCAGCCCAGCTAGCGTCTCTTTGAAAGAAAGATCGCTTTCTGGCGTGATACTTTGGCTCATTTACAAGGTAAAAGTTAAATTTTAGAGAATATCAATATTTTGTGAGATCTAAAATGATCGATTCGTCGACAGGCCATGAATCAGGGGGTGATTATCGGGAAAGGAGACAGGGAAAGGCAAAAAAATTCGGGAATCTCGGAGATTTCAATTTTTTTTGTTCACATCACCCCTCGTGGTCTGGGGAAAAAGAAAAATATGATTGCGCCAAAATATCAAATGAATACCCGTTTTGTCGGATTCTAGGAGTTGGCCTTTAAACGAAAGCTTTCAAACTTTTGATTTGAGAGGAAAACTTGCAGAAATCAGCAAATCTGAGAAAAATCAGCAAATCAGCAAGCAATTTCACAGTTGCAGTTGCTTGCTGCTTGCTGCAACTTCACATTAATCATTTTTAGACTGTCAAGTACTCGCAAAAACGACAAATCGACAATTTTAGACAAATCAAGGAAATGATAAGCCGAAAAAAAATTGTTTAATATTTTTTATTTTGGGTTAAAAGTTGAATTCTAGCTTAAAAGCTTAAAAAAGCTTAAAAAAGTAGATTATTTTGAAAAGCCAATTTCAAATCCTATTTATCTCTTTTGAAATGGATTTTTTTCTAGTTTAAAGAAAAGTAAAACCTTTTAGACTTCACCAATCTAATTTTAGACATTCACCAATTCACCTATAATTTACCTATTCAAACAAAAAACCTACTCTTATGACTTTTTGGTTGTAAAAAGTCGGTCCAACTGCCGCGCACCATGAATACCGAAGAAAGACGAGAATTTTATGACTTTTAGGGGAGAAATCCTCTCGGGGAAAACCCAAATCGAACAGATGAATCAATAGGCAAACAGTCAATGGAGAGAAAGTGGAATTGGATTGAGAAAAAGGGAGGAGAAAGAGATGGTGGGAAGAGATGAATATGGAGTGCGACTGAGACTGACACTGAGACTGAGACTGAGACTGAGATTGGGGGCAGTGGGAGAAAGGGCAGGCACAGCTCAAAACTTGCAGAAAAGGGGTGATTGTGAAAACGTGACCCCTCCCCTCCCTGCGTGTTCATCTTTTTCATTGCCAATCCCATTTCCCCTTTTCAATCACTATCCCGCTATTTACGCATTTGAATTCGGTAAACAAGATCTTTCTTCTCTTTTTTTCCTTGCAACCGTTTTTGGAGTGTTATTGGGCGTTTACCAGCGAGATTTTTGCACTTATCGTAAAGAGTGTGTTGTCATTAGTCTTGCGCTTAATGGATCTTTTTGGCTTTCTAAGAAAATACATTAACTTAAGCAGAAAAACCGATGGCGATCTTTTATACGCATCCAGTCCCCTTTGCCATTAGCAATCCAACTTTGAGCTCAATTTTCTTTTTGCTGGGCTGTTCAATTTAAATAGTTTTTATATCAATCGATAGAAAAAGACTTGGCGCATCCGATAATACCAAAAATATTGAAATTGGACAGCTTAACACCAAGAAATTTGAGCTCAAAGTTAGATTGCTGATGGCAAAGCGGCGGGGCGCGTATAAAAGGTCCCAAAACCCCGCCCCTTTTCCCACTAGCAATCCACTTTGAACTCAAATATCTCGGTGTTGGACTGTTCAATTTAGATAGTTTTTGAATCAATCGATAGAGAAAGACTTGGCGCATCCGATAATACCAAGAATATTGAAATTGGACAGCTTAACACCAAGAAATTTGAGCTTAAAGTTAGATTGCCGATGGAAAACGGGGGGAGCCGCGTATCAAATGTCCGATAACTAACAGAAATGAAAAATTCTGATAAATTTCTGTTTTCGGGCAACAATCAGGGCAGCAATGGGCAGCAATCACGTTTAAAGTCTTCTATGAAACGAATGAAGTTTTAAATTCTTACACAAACTCATGAATCTAGTGAAAAAATGTTCGTAGATTTGAAATACTTATGCGAAAAACTGTCAACTCTTTTGAAAAGCATTCTTTTGTAAAGCGCAACACTATATATGCTTCACCCTGTAGTTTGCGCATGCTATGGCGGTTGACCATAACATAGACCCAGAGTTAGCCTTACGGAACTTAACTTGGAAGTTTTCAAGAATTTTAAGTTGATCTCAGTTCTTCACTTAGTTTGCATTCATGTAGAAACTATCCTGTTTTACCTTTTCAACTGTATTTTTGCCAAATGTACTTAACTTTTTTGAACTCTCCGCTTCTTGCTAATGAAAAACTTTTAAAATAAAGGTTTTCAGAAACTTTGAAAAGCGATTTACAAGAGAAATGATTGGGCTATCTAATGAAGAGAATCGTATTTCATTAGCTTCAGATTTAATCAATTAGAAAATGAAGGTTAGGTGAAAGCCTTACTTAACCGAAATCTACTCAAATCTCAAAGAGAAAGTTGGTTATTCGGCTTAACTTTTGATAGAATCAAATTATCAAATTAAGATTTGATCTGTAAAGTCGAAAAAATGAGGCTTAAATCAGTTTTTGTGTTTATGAGCTATTTATTAAGTAAAAAGGTGTGCGAGATTGTTTTCAGCTCTTAACTAATTGTAAGAATATAAAAATTTGCTGTCAATTAGTACAGTGATTTGCTACGGAAACGCAACTCTTTCTGAGGAAAACGAGATTTAGATAGACTGAACCGTAAAATGGTGATTTGTGCGCCACTGTCGGCATCGAAAACTTTGAAAAGACTCACGTTGAGCCATCACCACCATTCCTCGATTCGCGAAGATGTCAATCGATCAATTGTGCATGTCACACAAAAGAAAATCAATCAAAAAGCTGTTTTTTTGTTCTTTTTGCCCCGTTTTGATGATCTGAAAATGAAAATTGAAAAGAATTGTTGTTGTTTCCTCAAAATTTCGAACAAAATTACGATTAGAAATTGTTGAATTGAGCAAAAAAAAGCGGAATATCGTAATTTGCATGAAATTCTGACCAAAAAGTCTTGAGAAATGAATTAGAAAATAAAAATAGAATAAATAGAAGAGTTCTCTTGAGAATGATTACAAATCTTAAAAATTCAAAAAAAAAAAAAAGAAAATCAGCAAATCAGCAAGTTCCGGTGATCACAAAAAGAAAAACTCGTAATCATTTCTCGCTTTTGTCCGGGGAATTTCCCAAGGTGAAAGTGCTAAAATTCTCAGCAAATCCCTCAGAAAACCCCCTTTTTGCCATCACAAAGCTGTCAAGTTCTCTTTCAAATGGTGAGAAATTGATGAAAAAAAATTGGGAATTGTGGAAAGCATGAAGATGACAAACAACGAGATTTAGTGAAAAGAGTTAATGGTTGAACGTAAAAAGTCTAGTTTAACTGTACAGTGCGCCACGAAGCGTGCGATTACAAGAAATATCTCAAAATGATCAAATTGTAAGAGAAGGAGTAATTTTCTAGAGTTTTTAGACTTCCTAGAGTTTCCTAGAGTTTCTAGAGAGTAAGGGTTAATTGAAAACAACTGGACTTTAAATTCTGGAAGGCACAGAAGCCAAAATCACAAGAAAAAACGGATCAAAGTTATTTTAAAAAATTAAGTAGTAGGTGAAAAGCTCGAGCAAAGAATATGCTTTTTATCAAGACTGGATGGGGAAATAGAGACCCTGCAATAGCATGATGGGGGGAAAATGAGAAAAATGGGCAAGAAAATGGCGGCAAAGGAGGCGAAAACAAGGGGTTGTGGGGCAGAAGAAGGGGCAAAGGGTCTGGGCCTAGAGGGGCCCCACCCTTCCACCCCCTATAGGGTTATTGATTTCCGGCCCTCTTTCCACCCCTGCATTCCTTCCTTCTTTTTTTTCCACCGAATGGAGCCCAATCTCCCCTCCGCGTCTTGTGCTGGGGCAAATGGCGGCCGGAGCTTTCTCCTCTTTCCTCCCGCCAGAACCATTAGTGGAAAAAGGGGTACCTGAGTCTTGAGATGAGAGACGATCCACGGGAATGACAAGTGGCCCATTTTGGATAATGAGGGTGGCCCTTTATACGAGGAAAATGAAGGACATTCTTTTGTTTAGAGACTGACCATGACAAGATAAGAGGTGGCTAATGTTCTTACAAACTCTTAAAAGTCGTAGTTTGACTAGAAACTCGATGACTGACCATGACAAGATAAGAGATGGTTAATGTTGGTTGGATTCTTTCTTACAACTCAATAAAATTAATAGCTCTAATCGATTTCCGTTCCTATACAAATTCCGGATACAAATCTACAACTGAATCTCTTTTTTGGATCATCAACAAAGCAGAGAAAATGCTCTATATAAATGACTAATGAGGTGTTCTTTGTGCGCGCGCGTAATCACTCTCCATTTAGCAAACGGCTTCGGTATAAAGGGCTTTTCTTTTGGAATCCTTAAAGGGAAAAAAGCGCTATGCGACTGAGCCGGCTATCGTTTCTTAGGCGTCACTATGCCCAAATTCTTGGGAACAATTTTTGCCTTGAATTTGGCTGTATTTGGCTATTTGAATTTGGCTTCTTTCAATCTTTGAAAACATATTCTATTTCCAAAATTGATTTTATGTACACAGAGAACAGTGTGAACGGGGAAACAAAGTTTTCGAGCAATCGAACTCGAGCAAAAAGTGAAGCACTCGTTTTGTCCGCAAGCCTTTTAACCACTATGCCATTGAGTCAAGTTGGCGGCGCTTGAGAAAACCGTTAGAAAACCGCATCCCATTGAACTCTAAATCTTTGCATTTAAAACCATAAAACTTAAAACAAGTATAACTGCCATTTTGCAAAAACAGAAAGCAGATTTGGAATCAGCGTGAAATTTAGCATCAAATGGTCTATGGCTTATCTCTTTCGCATCCCACTGTTCCCTTTCCCTTATCAAATTTGGCTGTATTTTTGCTACAAATTCAGCATCCTTCTCACCAAAACTAGCTGAAAACTCAAGGTTGAAACTGACTTGAAAAGCCTCATTTTTTTACTAATCATTCTATGCAACCAAATAAATCATTTTATCGACTCTCTCATCGCCATTCGTACCGCAAAATTAAGTAAAACGGGGGGAAACAAGAAAGGTGGTGTTTAAAAAAGCCGCGGGGCAATCAAATTCCCATTATCAACCCTCTATTTCCCCCTCCCCCACCCTCCAGGGACTCACTCGTTGCCCCGGGAACCCCATGAGTTTTTTGGGCGAATCCCCATTCTCTTCGGGCTGATTCTCAAATAAGTTTAGAAAATCTGACGAAAAATTTAATTAAATGAAATCTTGGTACAGAAATTCTTGAAAAATAGACTAGAACTAGAGAATTTCAAGGTTTTAAAAAATAAATTTCATAAAACGACTCTAAACAAATCGATTCTTGATGGAAAAACTAAAATGAGTTCCAATTCGACGAGTGTAATCAAAATTCAAAGCAGTCAGTTCACGAAGACGGCCGAATTAAGCGAGGATCATCCCTGGCTGAGCAGCGCCGAGAATGGGAACATTGATAACAAAGGGAAAGTGAAAAATTCTCAAGAATTGAACTTGTAGAAATAATTTGAAGCGGTATTAATTGAAAATTGAGAAAGCGAAAAGCGAAAAAGCTAAATAAACGTTTTTTTTCTTAAATCGATACTGGAAAAGGCAAAAAAAAATAAGGCACAAAATGGGAAGTGAGTTAGAAAAGGCAAAAAATGGATGAGAGAATGGTGGGGGGAAAGGAGGGGTGTCCTCTGTCCTCTGTCCTCCAAATTGGCAATACATGGTGGTGTTTGTGCCTTTTGCCCCATGACTTGCATGACGTCAATGTCATAAATTGCGAAGAGTACAGCTTGGGTTCACCTAGAGACTA